AAAGCATCGCTAAAAATATCAGATATATAAAACACATACACAAACACACACTAAAAGTTTTTTATTATTATTATTTAAACACTAAGTGTAAGACAACCACCAAAATTGATGTTCAATTTTTTTTTGATTTTATTTGATTTTTTTTATTATTTACTAAATACTACTGTAGTGTTGCAAACCTTTATAGACTTTCATTTTTAGCAATTTTCAGCATTAATACAATTTAATACAGTGTGTGTGTATGTGTGTGTGTGTGTTTGTGTATATATATATATATATATATATATGTGTGTGTGTGTGTGTGTGTGTGTGTGTGTGTGTGCATATGTGTGTGTGTATATGTGTGTATGTGTGTGTATGCGTGTGTATGCGTGTGTATGCGTGTGTATGTGTATATATATATATATATATATATATATGTGTGTATGTGTGTGTATATGTATGTATATGTGTGTATATGTGTGTATATGTGTGTATATGTGTGTATATTTGTGTATATGTGTGTATATGTGTGTATGTGTGTGTATGTGTGTGTATGTGTGTATATTTGTGTATATGTGTGTATATGTGTGTATGTGTGTGTATGTGTGTTTAAGTATGTGTGTGTATGTGTGTATAGTTTTGTAGTTTTATATAATAAAATAAAATACAAAAATAAATAAAAGAGTTAACAATTTTATTTTTTTTTTTTGGGGAGGGGGGGGGTAAAAGTTTAGTGTATCACAATTGTATTATATGATTATACTATATATATATATATTTATATATAGAGCATAGATATGATAAAATCAATTTTATTTCTAGTATTTATATCATTTTAAACTCTCTCTCTCTCTCTCTCTCTCTCTCTCTCTTTCGTTGTTACAAAAAAAAACATTTGATCAGTGATTATGCTATCATATGATATCATATGATATAAAAATTTATTTAGTTTTTTAACTTTAAAAATAAGTCACACACTATATGTATGTATGTATGATATGTGTGTATTCAATGAGAAAATTATTTAATAGTTTAATACTTAAATCATATGATTGAACAACAAATGAAAAACATATAATAATAATAATAATAATAATAATATGAAATATAAAATGTGCAGTCATTTATGCATATAAAAAAAATTTTAGTTTAGTTAGTATTAAATCCAAAAAAAAAAAATTGTTATTTGACTGACAGTTAAATAATTTATATTTAGCAAAAATGTTAACAATAAAAATAATATATAATTTTTTTTTAATTTAATTCAAACGTTGAATTTTATTAGTAGTTAAAATTGATTTTATTTTATTTTTTTTTTGTATTGAAAATCTACTGTTTTTATAATATGAATTAAATGTGATTTTAAACTACAAAATTAATTAATAAAATTATTAATACAACATTTTTTTTAAAAACTAATAATTTTAGTTTAGTTTAGGAAAACTTAATTTATTTTATTATCAAATAAAACAAATAAAATTAAGTGTTTTTTTTGCTATTCAAAAAAAAATTTAAGCTAATAATATAGTATTAGTATATAATTTTTATGACATATAATATATTATGTATAATTATCACATATATACACACAAATAACATTAAGTTTTTTTTAAACAATTAAATTATATATATTTTTTTCAAATAATAATAATAATAATATGTTTCAAAGCATTTTTCATTTAAAAACTGTTAAACAAACAAAAAAAATTTTTTTGTGATAATTACAACATTGAATGTTAAATAGTAGTAAAACATAATGATATTTATGTCATCACTATAACTATAAATAATTATATTGTTTTTTTTATGTGTGTTAAGTGTAAATATTTTATGTATTTAAATATATTGTATATATATTTGTTTAAATAAATAATTTTATTTTAAATAATTAAAAATGTAATATTTTTTTTTTGTTTTATTATTTTATTTTGAAGGGAGAAAACTAAACTAAATAAAGAAAATTAATGTCTGAGAAAAATAAAACAAATAACTCTTTTCTATAGAAATTAATCTTATTTTAACTATTATTTTGAAGAGAGAGAGAGAGAGAGAGAGAGAGAGAGAGAGAGAGAGAGAGATCTTAATTATATTTTTTTTTGATTAATAGTTATTTAATATTTATAGTCTTAAAAAAAATTAGGAGAGAGAGAGAGAGAGAGTAAAAAATATAATATTTTATAATAATAACAATAAGTAATAGTCAAGTGTCTAAAGATAAATAGATTTTGAATTATAAATTTTTATTTGATTATCATTTGATGAAAAACAAGTAGTGATATATAGACCAATGTATACATAGTTTATATATATATATATTGTATACTTGTATATACAGTTTTATGTGTTAAGTATTATAATAAATTAAATTTTTGAAACATATATAGTGTGTGTATATACTTTATTAGATATACTATGAGTGTATATACAGTGTCAGATAGATATATATAAAGATAATGTTATATAATAGATGTTATATATATATATATAGTATATGAGAGATACTATACATTAAACTAATGTTGAAAACATATATATACAGTATTATACATAACAACTTTAAC